TCCCCAGTAGTTTCCAGAAAGGTTATGAGAAACCCACCTGCGCTTTCATCTCTGCTCCCACTTCCTCTTCACTCCTCTTCACCAGCATCACATGCTACAAATCTGTCATGAAATAGGGCTTCTAGTGACAGTTTTTTTAGTAGAAGGATGTTGGTAGACATAGAATCCGATGGAAACTTCAGGAATAAGGCATTTGAAAAATTCATGTATTCATTCTTATCCTCTTTCATCAAAAAATGCATAGAAATATCATAATGTTGCCCTTGGTCTGAAAAGCATGAGATTCAACTGGGAAATTCAGGCATGAATAGATAATTAAAATACAACCGAATAACCAGTTTTTAAATCATACAAGAATAACCCTATTTTGGAAGCATCACAGGAGACACACATTGAGTTTTGAAGGTGAGAAGCACCCCCCAGGTGTAGAAGGGGACATGTGCAAACAGAAGTGACATCATGAACAAAAACATAGGTAAGGATTAACTACACCTCATGTGCTAGATCTGGCCATCTTCTTCTTTATATGGCTCATGAGCTAAAAAAAAAAAGGCTTTTACATTCTTTCAGTTGTTCTTAAAAATCAAAAGAATAATTGTGTATGGTGCCTGGGAATTCAGGAAATTTAAATGAATTTCAGTGTCAAAGTTTTATTGGACCCCAGTCGTGCTCCTTTGCCTAGATATTTGTACACCCTAATTGTGTATTTCTCTGTATTATAAATGCCCTGTTTCCCTCAAAATGAGACTCAACTGGAAAATAATCAGCAAGAGAACAGTGAGGTATGATCTTCTCCATGACACTGGCCACCACTATGGTTAAAAACCAGCATTTCTTTTCCATTTAGGTCTATTTTCAGGGAAATGTAGATTTATGTATTACACATATTGTATATGTATGGGCACACATGCACACATCTGTGTATTTGTTTGGGTATTGAGTCGCTTGAAAGAAATACATGTTCTGCAAGCCTCAAAATTTTGTATCTCGCATTTAACAGTAAAAGTTTGCCAACCTCTGCTATAGAATCTTGAAGCAAAGTAATTTGTTCAGTAAATGGTAAGAAACTCAGCACTGGAGTGCTGAGAGGTTAAAGTGCCTGGATGACAAAGTGACAAAAGAAGAAATTTAAAGAATACGCTGTATTCCTATTGTATCCTTGCTAAAAACTCAAGGTTATTTTTTCTGATTATGCTCTTGGCTGCCAGCTCTGCCTTTTACTGCCCCGTGTAAGCAAGTTATCAAATTCTTAAACTACCAAAAACAACCTCTCTAAACTCCAGCTCATCCATTGATAATATAGGAAGGATAATAATAGTGCTCTAGACAAGACCATTGACATGAGAAGAAAATGGTAAAAAAAAAAGAGAAGAAAATGATAAAAAATGATAAAGTGCATAACAGAGCTGTATTGTGTATTCAGTACATATTACCAAAAGACAGCCATAATTTTCACTTTTATTGTTGCTGCTTTTTTCCTAGTAAAATAATTTCCTCTTGAATATTTGGAAAACTGCACAATAAAATTAAGAAAACAGTCCTACCCCCCTTCCTACCACTTAACGGCATTTTTGCTAAAATGTTGCATATTCCCTGATTCTTTTGTCTATCTACATATTTGCAAAATTGAAATATTAGTACTTGCATATATTTTTGTGAGTTCTCCTTTCATTTACAAAGTGGATATTAATCAATCGCAGTAAACATTTTTCAAAAATGACTTATATGATTCCATATTTCCTTCAAGCCATGCGTCATAATTGACATAGTCATTAAGGATTAGTGGTTGCTTCTAATTTTGTTTCTGTAATAATACAACACTGAATATGTTTACATGTGAGATGATTGTCTATGGCTCTGCTTACTGACAAATTAGAGACACTGAGGAGACACTGAGGAGATTCTCAGCACAATGTATAAATTTTGTAAGCTGATTTTCAGAAAAATTACACTAATTTCCAAAGTTGTCAATTCTGAATATTATTAATTTTGTAAGTTTGATGAACAAAATTGAATTTATATATTGTTTCTTTACGTGTTTAGTTGTTACTTTTAATTACTAGGAAAAAGAAATAATTTTATATGGTTGTTCATTACCAACATTTTTTGGTGAGTTGAATCTTTGTGCCATCTACCTTTTGGAGGTATCATCTACCATTTGCTCCTAATGATTTATTTTATGTTTATTTATTTATTTATTCTTGTCTTTTTGAGACAGGGTCTCACTATACAGTTCAGGCTGGCCTTGAGCTCACTTTGTAGTCTATGCTGGTTTTGAACTTGCAAAGATCCTCCTGCCTCAGCCTCCCGAGTGCTGGGATTACAAGTATGCACCACCACACCTGGCTGCTCCTAATGATTTATATGACCTATTTGCAAATCAGCTAGACAAACACTTTCTATTATTCCCTGAATTATTATTACAAGTTTGTCATTTGTCTTTTAAGTGTACGAATTGAAGTACAAATGTATTTTTATTTTTAATTACATGTGCGAACCTAAATATAAAGTAATATATCACCATGGCAAATAATGTAGAAAATATGAAATGCGAGGAAGAAATTGAAAGTGCTTATTATCATACTCCTAACATACTAATATCGACCTAAATGCAATTGCAGTTTATACATATATGGTATAATTTTATATTTTAAAATGAATGTCTTTTTACTGAGCAGATTATTTTGTACATAAAACCATCATTCCACTAAATATAGGGAATGTTCTTCCATGCTATCAAATCTTCTCCAATAGTCCAAAATGATTGCATACAATTTAGTAGTAAGGATACTAAGCTATTTAACAAACTTGCTATTTATACCCTTTTGTTTATGTTTGCTAGTATGTTATAAATTTGAGAGGAGCAGCCTATTAAATAAAATTGTATCCTTAATCTAAAATTGTAGATGGAGTATCACTAGTCAGTGTCTTTTATGTATCATCAGAAATCTATTTGTCATTTTCGTCAGTAGTGTTCATTTCCCTCCACTTTTAAGACAACTGAGCACTATAACTTAAAACAGCACTTGCTGAAAGCTAGCCTTTCTGCACTGTACTGTCTCAGCTCTTCTGTCTCATGTCGGTTGCATGAGTTTGTTTCTGTGCTCTACATTCTGCTCTTTGGTTCACCTGTCTTTTTCTAATGTCTCTTTGCCTATTTTTCTACTCATTGGCAATCAATAGAAATATTTTGGCACTTATTTTTGGATGCTTTCTTATTTTTCACTTTTATATTGGGCTAATGGGTCCTTTTTCCTCTGTACTGTGGGGTGAACCCAAGGCCTTCACACGGAATCGCCTCCCCAGTGCCTCCCTTTTCTTTTTCATTTTGAGACAGGATCTCACTTAGTTGTCCAGGCAGGATTTGAATTTACAATCCTCCTACATCAGCCCCTCTCAGTGCTGGAATTATAGGCTTTAGCCACTGTATCAGAGTCATCTGTTCTTTATTAATATTACTGTTATATACAACTTAGATCCTCTAAATTAAATATAGACATATGTGTAATACAATATACAGATTGTAGCATCTAAAATTACGTATAAACAGATTCCACATATTCTTATAGAGCTTAATTTCAACCACTAAGCTTTGTCCATACTGAATATAATCATATGGTAAAAATAAGAGGTGAATTGGTATATTTGTATTTCTGAAAAATTACTGTATCCTTCATGTATACATCTATATATATGGTTGTAGACTTTATCGTGTTTCAGTGACTTGTATAATATAAATATTTTATATTTAAAGCATGAATCAAGGCACTATTTTGTTTTCATATCATTAGTAGTATAATATACTAATAATACAATATAATTTACAAAATAATATATGATTCTGTATACACTTCTGTTATTCCATTCTTTTAACGTTATTATAACTTCCATCTCTTGTTGATTACCATGGAATAATAGTTACAAATAAAATGCTAGGCTTTTTCCATAATTACAATAACATCTTTAACAGTTTGACAAAAACTTACATTTTTCTAAAACTAGTTCTCTAATCATGAAGATAATATGACACTCAATTTAGTAAAGATAATGTTATACCCTTTCAAAAAGATTTTGTCTTTTCTCAATCTCATGGCTTTTGGGATTGTGATATTTTGATACAAACTGCTTCAATCCACTCATATTTTTACCTTAGATGTAAAAAGAATTAAGATGTGTTATGTATATGCACCAACTCTGCACAATGAATGTACTCATTACATACTGCAAACATGTACTAATAAAAAATAAAAATTCAAATATATCAACACTAAACCTTACATCCTACTAGGAAATTGCCCATTTAAATAAGAAACTGACATTTACTAATAAAAGCATACTATCTTACAATTTTCTAAATTTTAAATTTCTAAAATTATGACTCCACTTATTATTCCTAATATTGAATACTTTTGCTCTCTCTAATTTTGAATCAACCAAAGCTAAAATAAAATAAAATATATTCTATCTACTGCATACTCTGTTGAATTATTTTGAAAGTGTAGTTCCATTTGCACACAGAAAAGTAATTCTTAAGTTTTCCCTAGATGAAAAAGATGAAAGCAATGAATCTTTAGTGAACAGAGACATATTAGATAGGAGTGAAATTTTTCTGTTTTTCAATCTGGTTCCACTTCTTTGCCTCAGGACCTAGCTAACTTATCCCCATTATTAAAATATTCATGTGTGCAGCAGAACATGCAGGGGGGTGTAAATGGTCAACTCATTTTGAGAACTAACGTCACAAGATAGAAAATGAATTATAGAAAGAGTAAGATTAGGAAAGGATAAACAACTGGTCTTCTCACACCTTCTATACTGGGTATTCTTCCTTGTATATTTATTTTAAAATAACATACGACTTCTTTCTCTTCCAACTGAGAGCTTGACATTGCTTTTTACCCTGACAGTAAGAAGGAATCTGAAAAACATATCCAGAATGCGATTGCTATTCTATCAAGAATTTCTCTCCATGACCACTCTGGAGATTTAAAACTATTCCTATGGCTGGAGGAAATTGGACAAGGATAAGTGAGTTTATCCTCATGAGCTTCTCCGCCCTACCTACTGAGATACAGTCCTTGCTCTTCCTGGTGTTTCTCATCATCTACCTGGTCACCCTCATGGGAAACAGCCTCATCATTCTGGTTACCTTGGCTGACCCCATGCTGCACAGTCCCATGTACTTCTTCCTCAGGAACTTGTCTTTCTTGGAGATTGGCTTCA